TATATATCTCTGTTATTAGACGGTTGGAAGCAATCAGCCACATGTTTCGTGATAGTTGGAACTCGTCGGCAAGGCGTATCTGCAACCTTAAAGGAATTCATGTCCTCTTTGAGATTCAAAGGGGTATCATCTAGACTAGCAGTCGGAAACGTTACCACTGAGCTATTTGAACTCAGTCTAAATAAGTCTGTTGCTTGTTGGTCCATGTCAAGTAGATGTATCTGGAATTATGGAGAAACTCATGACTCGAATAGCTCATTGTTAACATCTGTGACTGCAACATTGGGTGACACAGGTTCGAATTTCGGTGTGGAGGGACTTGAGTTCCTTCAAGACTGCAGATACACCTTGCTGACGAGTTTCAATAAACATTAAACCTAAGTGATGCAAAGCTTTTCCCCAACTGTCTCCAACCATCCAATTAATATCAACAATTCAGAGTTCTTTGTGATAGTGAGCCATCTAGCTTGTCGCTGTCCACATTGCAAACTGGACTTTTAGGATTCAGCCTTTACCAAACAACTAGTGTGCAATAGAAATATATCTCTTGTACTTTGAAGAATATTCTTGTTTCTAAGAAGCTATATTATTATCACTAATCATTTCTGAAAACTAAATATTTTACATCACGCAAGAACCATTCAAATAAGTTCCACAATTCATCTATTTCCTACCGTATATACAGTTAAATATGTTTTGTTACCAAGTGATATTTGGCCTTTTATTTTCAATTTTCATCAAGTTTCTGGAAGGTGTATTTAACACTATGGCTTTTATCGGAAGTTGTGTGTGTAGTCCTTTTGGCTGACATATATCTTCTGAATGTCACCAAATAGGTTCACACGTGTATTTGTCAATTTTCGAGGGGGAAAGCTAAACGATTTAATCAAACTATTCACAAATATTTGTTTATTGAACATATAACTTGTTAATTCTCTGTGAGTTAGCAGAAGAGGTATGCCGATATGTTCAATACTTTCCGAACTTTTGACCCACAAATATCGAAATGTGAAGGGAAGTAATCAGACCACATTATACTGTAATATTAGTCAATTTACTTTACAGCAATTCATTCAAGCATTGTATTTATCTGCTTGTATCTTGTGAATAGTGTAACATTTTTGATAGGTTATTAAGCTACTTATAAGTAGACAAAATATGTAAATGAAATTTCAAAGTGGTCATGAGAACTCAGCTAGTAAGAATTGAAGTGTTCAAAGATGATTAAGGTGTTTCAAGCTACTGTATGCCATTTAGCCTGGATTAGTGAATATACAGGCTCCAGTGAACTGTTGTTATTATTATCACTATTATTTCAACAGAGGTCCAATAATTAGCCATATGACGTAATATCAACAAGAGATTTGCAAAATGAATACAGAAGCGAAATTGAAAGTGCTGTGGTGCTGGTTATTTATTGATATACGCAAGTTAATAACATTGATAACTAATTGCAAAAAATTATTCAAAAGTCTGTTGTTTTGCAATAAAATTGTTTCTAAAACACGCTGATTGTTGATTGTAAATAAATCAAATTTAGAAAGTTAATTGCATTATAAACTAGTATTGTCCATCTTCACCACATTTGTAGGAAATGATCAACCCACAGATCAATAAACATGCCAACACAAGTGATACTTTCCACTAACTATATGTGAATGTCTTTGTAAACAGTTTGGAGACGGTGCCAGTACATAAAAAAGCTATGCAAAATCATGTTACAATTGCAAGGAACCTAAATCCGACTCTTCTATGCGTATCTACCTGTTTGACTGCAGTGGTGGAGCCAGCTACATTAGGCGTACAATTAGGCAGGTTCATCATCGTATTTCCGAACATCACGCGGCATGGTTAAGCAAGGGACAAACTCTGTTTAAGCACACCTTGTAGATAGTGAATATAAGGTTGACGTTAATACTGCATTTAAAATTATTTATCACATTCCTACTAATCCTAATTTTTTTCTTTACGAGTTTGTCTTCTACATACAGCTGAAGCCATAGGAATCCACTTGAAGAAGCCAAACCTGTGTGTTCAGAAGAAATTTTTACAGCCACTTTCCTTACCTTGGCCATCGTTACATGAATGTATAAATCGGACTCCTTCATCCCCTCACCCTAAACATTTAAAAATTATAAAAATTATAATGGTCCAAATTATTTTATCTTTTCTAACTACTTCATCTTTAAAACAATTAGTCCCTCTGATAAATTTGTATAAGGCATTAAGAAGACAAATTTCACGAGATGATATCATCTTTAATTACATGTTATCCTTGTAAAATTAATTTATTCTAGCCATTTCTACCTTTTAAATGTGTATTGATTTTCTTCGTGTATTATCAACCCATTGACATTTTGACACTGACTAACTGTTGTTAACAAACATATCAGCGCCACTTGATTGATAATCTGTTGTGTATTGTAATAAAAATGCTATCTATCTATTAGAGTAGAGCCAGAGATGAGGATCTAATTAAAAAGTAAGTGTTTCTTCTCTCAATCTTTCTGTTTTCTAAATTCCAAGGAATTCCCTATTTGAAACTATTTAGACCTGGGTATCATCTAAGTCTGAATAAATCTCTGTACATCTTTTTCCTTGTTTTGTCCAGCATGTTATTGTGCCTTCCACTTTGTAATGTTTATTGAGATTTATCATGAATATCCACCACCTATGTTTGGGCCTTGTTGAATTACTTATAAAAATAAGTTAACCTGAGATATACACTCATAAATAAGATGTATTTATAGATAAGAGGGGAAAGATTCTGTTCTCATTATGAAGGACATCTGACAGAATCAGTAACAGCTTCCAAGATAGCAGTTATATAAGTGGTGTTGCAAATACGTATAACATTTTAGGCGTGTTGACATAATGCTCACATTTAAAAACTCACATATGATGTTCACTTACATAACCTTAGCCGATAAGAACAGGAATAGCGCATTCAAACATAAAATTTACATGATAATATATAGGTATCAATATATCAAAATAAGGTGGAAATTATGAAGTATTGTCATTATATAGGCTTTCTGAGTTCGTCGAATTTGATAACCAATGGAACAGGGAAACCCTATGATGAACATCCTATTAGAAAACAGGCTTAGTGTTCGACTGTACGCCTGTGTTGTTGTCCACAAGAGATCTTATAAAACGATTTGTTTCACCGGCTAATACCTCCTCCAAGTGATTTCCAACAAATAATGCAAATGTAGAAGATATCTGTATACAGAATTTGTGATCAAGTCTAGTGATTTATAACTTGGACTGTTATTATGGGATTTATCTCTACTGTAGTATAATGAAGGCCAATAAGACTCTTTTGGTGTTCTTATTAGCTTATTGTTTCTGCAAGTCACAATGTTCTTAACACTAAGAGATCACTGATGGTAGAAAATTTGAAACTGCATACTCACAAACATATATCCAGGAAGTTCTTCCAACCGCCTCCGACCAACGACGCCATTTTAAAATGCACCGCGATGATGTAGACAGGATTCTGATAACTAATCAAAGAACGTTTGAATATGCAGACATACTCTTAACTTATACTACTTACTAATAGTAAGTAGTATAAGTTAAACCTTTTTCACTATCTTGCTGCTCTTCAACTATAAGTATGGATTTCCATTAGTTCATCTCAATTTAGTGCATCAATATTCTATTTGGTCCGCGGTAATTATCGTTCTACGGTTAAATAGTATTATCTGTATATTTTTTGCGTATGTTAAACTGTCTGTTGTACATTGTGTATTCGAATACCTTTCGGCACACTGTACATTTTTACTTACAAAAGTGTTTTTATAAAACATCTCTTCATGCATTTATTCCCCCTGATGGATTTGAATAAAGCGAGAACAAGCATCTCTACTGTTTTACATGTTAACTCCCATTGATAGCGGTTTTAATGACATTCAACTTATATGTTTCACAACTTCTAAAAAACTATATAATCTAGACCTTGCCGTGCTTATTTAATCGGAAGTTCGATTGGGAATTATCATTCTGGATTTCTTAGAGGAAATATATCACCTTATTTATTTCAGATTTATTACCCTACCACTATTATTTATTTTAGTGGTTCTTTTTATATTTTAAAACTTTTGATTCTAGTAAATTAACCACTATTATTCAATATATTGATTGAAATCTGAAAATTAATAATTTATCATCAGTTTGCCTTTCAAGTGGAACATAAGGCTTTAGTAGTACATCTCTTTTTCATCCTTGTCTCAGCAGTTGTCTTTACCTAGCTTCACGGTTGCCTATAAGCTTCTATTTCCTCCCAAAACGACCTCCTTCATGCCACCCTTGAACTCAGTCAAAACTCATCTTTCGCTTTTGAGTTCCCCTCGAAGGTGTGGCTCATGATATCAATCAGCAATCTCCTCAATTAACAAATAATTCGTGCATAGAATCAGGCTATCCCCACGTACTTGTAATGCCGATTGATTTGATTTGGTTATAAGTGATAAAGTGATCTTGAAACTTCATCCAGTCTGAAATACTGTATTGCTGTTTGTCATATCGGATAAACTCACCTAATATGAGACTACACTCTACCGCTGTGATATCAAGCATCAGGCTTTCGAATCAAATCTGAGTGGGAGTTGATCAGCTGGTCTTAAGACGGTGTTGTAGAATAGATCGTGCATAGTAGAGGAAATCAAAGCTTGTGGAGAGTGGTGATGGTAGTTAAAAATCACAGCAGATAACACAGGACAGTCGAGATACGCTGCTGAAGCTCTGTTTCCACTTGGGAAGGAAGAATGCCTAATGACATATAACATTATAATACAGTGTCCAAAAGTCTTACTCTCATATTAATGATGCAAAGTAATGATGATTGGACGGCATGAAGTTGAGAAAAATGTTATGTAATGGACTGATTGAAAAATGGATGGAAATATATGTGATATTTTCCACTAGGAACCCAAGGAAACAATAATACTAATAGTTATATACTGTTCAAAACAGTTGACACTGTTCAAACTTACATTTCGTATGCAATAACAGCTAAACTCCATAAATCAGTTGTATATGTTTGTGGATCACAATTTTGTGTTTCAGGTGCTATATAAGTCAATGTTCCAGCTGGTATAGGAGGACACTGACTGCCTGTATAAAAGATAGCCAAACCGAAATCGATAATTTTTAAACGATATCCAGATGATTGTACCATCATTAAATTTTCTGGTTTTAAATCACGATGAATAACTGAACAGTCTTGTAGATGTTTTAAACCAAGTAGAACTTGACGAACTATACTCACAGTAATAGCCTCGTCTAATGAACCTTCTTTTTCAATTCTGTTGTACAAAGCGCCACCTGAGACACTTGAAATGAAAATATTGAAACAAAGTGAACTGTTAGAGTTAACAGATTAACATAATTGTCCAAGAATTATTTTAAAATGAAACGAAAATAATAAATTATCGCGAATTCATTTTATGTTTTCATGATCCCCATTAATGCAAAAGTAATAAGATGATATTAGATGGTTAGAGGCAATCTCGAGGAAGCCTTGAACCTAAGTTTAGTGCTTTTTGGCACACGTCAACCAGGCGTATCTACAACTTTCAAAGAAACTCATGTCCTTTTGAGATTCCAACCCGCGTCACCCAGTGCTGCAGTCAGAGACGTGACCAATGAGCTATTTGGGCTCACGATTGATCTCCTGTAGGACTGTATCGGATATTTTTGATTGGACACTAGTAACTAGCGTGATTTGTCTAGTTAGTCCTTTCTTTGGTGAAGACTGAATTCAATCAGTCAGGTTTGTAATGTGACCACCATTCTAGGTAGCTTGCCATCACGGTGTACATTGTTTGAGCTACCTAGAATGGTGGCCACATTACAAATCTGACTGATAGAATTCACTCTTCACCAAAGGAAGGGCCAACTAGACACATCACACTAGTTACTAGTGTCCAAAAAAAAGTAATAAAGGATGTCAATATACCCCTGTTTGTAGTTGGTCATTTTGGGTTCTGATGAAGGCTCATTATGAATACTTTAGTTCATAAGTAGGATAGATGGGTCTAGTGGCAGTAGTATTATAAGTACAAGAAGACTTGCCATATTCAGGTAGGAAGTTACCTGGGATTCTAGTGAGAAGTTGTGACCAGTAGGGTGCATCAGGTCGGGTGTGAGGACAAATAGTCGCTGAAGACATTGGCTAGGGGTCGCGCTATGTCGTGAATTGGCAGAATTAAGAATTCGTGGGCTGTCCATTGGATCGGGTCCCAGTGACTTAATGGTCTACGAGCTCGCCTAATGACTAGAAGGTCCTGGGTTCGAACCCCGCGGTGTGGGTGCGTACTGATGAAGAGTCTTAAAACCAGGACGAAACAGCTATCCAATATTCCCAGGTTTTCCAATGGTTCTCTAACCAATGTCAGCTCATGATGAAATCCTGTAACAAGAAGACTTGTTTAATGTGATCAAACCTTAAATATTCATTAAAATCCGTTCTTCTGGTATATCTGTGGACATCACTTGTTGTAGCTTGTAATGTAATAATTGCTTGGAAAGTCATTCTGAACGGTCCAGTTGCAATGTTGACACTCACTTGGATGTTTCAATTAATTTAATTTTATTAACATCCCCTTTTTCTCCTAGACTGTATATTATTATTCTAGCATTTACATATAATTCTCTGATTTGACCCTTATTATTTGTCTCAGACACTGTTTAATCTCCAATTTTAATGCTTCTCTTTGTAGTGGTTCTGGAAAACATTGGTAATGTGTTGTTTTGTGGTGTGATTTTGTTTGAGGGAATCGAGGTTATTATGTGGGGATTCCTTAGTGTATGTGATTCTTGTGGATTGAGTTTTGATTTCACCTTGTTGGAAATATTCTACTGGATTCTAATGCACTCCTTACAAGTGAATTTTGGCTAACTAATTTTGTTCCACACTACTCGCCTTGTGCTTATAAAGTTACCTTTTCTGTTAAGCTGCTAACGTTACCGTTGAAGTCATTTCAGTTTTTTGACGCTATCGTTGTTGAATAGAACCACACAGACCTATCGACGAATAGTCGTCCTTTTGCCGTCTTTGGAACCGTTTGTGACTTTGTGTCTTTCGAGGGAGTTTCAGGCAGCTATACAGTAGGATACAGAGTTCAGTTCCCTCAGTTCAGACCGCAGCAAGTTGGTTTTGGTTGCTAAATAGGTTTTACTTCACCCCTTTATTTAGCAATAAGACTGTAAAGCTATCTTCAACACTGAGGTCAACAAGGACTTTAACATGTCTCAAGCATAATGACGTTGTATAAAGCGTAGTACATGAACAGATCTAAAACTTCATCAGAAGTTTATGCAAACTAACATCTAGTATTTAAAATTCTGTGCATCTGTCATTCAGTAGTGCCGTTTTGAATCTTTAGGTGAACATAATTTTCCTGAAGGTTGCAGGCAATTCACGCTCACAGGAATCAACCAAAACAAAAACTTTAGATATGATAGAGAAGATTTGTAGCTCAGGTGGATGATTTTGATGTGGTTTTGTTCTCTGAGCTGGATGGTTAGTTTGCGAAGCTTTCATCACCCTACTGGATGAAAGCTTCGCAAACTAACCATCCAGCTCAGAGAACAAAACCACATCAAAAAGCACAAAAGCTTGATACATGGTTTCTGGCTTTTTGACTTCTAATTTCTGAAGCGAACAATGTTGGCAAAGTAATTAAGTATTTTTAAGTACCACGGTAAAAAATCACTCCACTAATTCAATATAAGTAGAGTATAGAAGTGTTTTGAAGTTCTTCTAGTGGTTTGAAAGATTTAGTGGTGTGGGGTTGCTAGCACTACGCCCAACCTTCTTTCATTACCCTGGCTTTGGACCGGCTAAAAAACTAGCAAGATAGTTAACTAGGCAAGGCAAGAGAAAGCCACCAAACTGGCTGAAGAGACAGGCAGAGAAGACATGACTCCAAATCAACACAGAGAAGACGGGGTGATGAAGATAACCAACTGACATCAACAACAACCAGCACAAATCACCATCAATGGGAGAGATTTAACAGAGGTTGCCTTCTTCACTTATCTCGGAAGCATCGTTTCAACTACAGGCCGAACAGATGAAGATATCAAAGTCAGAATCGTAAAGGCAAGATACGCCTTTATCAACTTGAAACCAGTTTGGAAATCTTCCTCACTCAGAATAAGGAACAAGATTCGCATTTTCAGCTTCAATGTGAAGTCGGTTCTTCTATGCGGATCAGAAAATTGCACTGCGTCTCAGTCACGAAAAGGACTTTCAACAGGTTGCAGACTTTCATCAACAGCTGCCTTCGCTCCATACTGAACTTCAAATGGCCAGAAAGAATGATTTAGAAGAAACTATGGGAGCAAACCTACCATGATCTTATCGCTCGACAAATATGTAAGAGAAAGTCGAGATGGATCGGACATACATTGAGAAGGCCACTGAATGACATCGCACTCAATGCAGACTATCGCTCGAGTGGAATCTCAATGGGAAGCGACGAGTGGGTCGTCGGTGGTAGGGTGATATCGAAGGCAGCGTGTGAGGAAGAGATGAGAGTGTTTGGTCAATCGTGGACCAAGATGAAGAGGACGGCAGAAAACAGAACAAAGTAGAGATGTGTTGTTGAAGTACTACGTTACAGTGAGAACGCAAGGGAATAATAATAACAGAAGAGTTTCTGAGCTCCAAAGCCTGCACTTCTGTATCCAATTTATCAAAGGTTTCAGGGTTTTAAATATTTTTATTCCTTGTGTTCAGAGTGGAGCGAAACGCTTCGAGCTTTTTTTTCAAGTTTCATTAGTGGTGATATCGACTTTATGAAGTGGTGTTTCTAGGCTCATACCCAACTTTCCCTCTTTCTCAGGCTTGCGACCAGCTAGTAAATTACGTAAGGCTTGTGGATTACGTTGGTCAGGAAACACACCTAGACCTTTCTGCGGGGTTGGCAGCATTCTACCGTTGAACTACCGACGCTCTTTGGTATTTTTATTATCACTCCTCTTAAAAAGCAAGATTGGAATTATAAGAGCAAAAAATGATAGAAAATTCCCGAAAATATGTAAATTTTCATACAGCATGAAATTTGGAAAGCAAAGCACCAAATGCAACTTACTATTCTGTAACTATAGTACAATAGATGTTGTACTCATAAGCAGCGTGTAGATGAGCTATTTGTGGATGCTTTCCAATAGCACGTAGTATAGCCACTTCCATTAATTCACCTTTATGCCTTTTAAGTCGTAGCATTTTAAACTTTTTCGCTGCAAATATACAACCAGTACTTTTTTCTTTGCATTTCATCACGTGTCCATATGTACCACTTCAAGGAAGCAAAGTTAATATAATCAAAGTTATAACTAAAGTTTTGAAAAGTAAGTAATATAGTATAAGTGAATTGTATAAACATATTCACATCGCCTAACTGCTACTGTACGGACAGGACTGAAGAGTACTTGGTGACAGAACTGTTTATTGTCAATGCGACGTACATATATAGACATTTACCATATATCAAAATCACAGTTTGTATATTTATTCTGCATTATGATTCTTTGTCTTCTTTTCATGTTTTCTGTGTTGTTTCACAAGATTCATCCATTTCTTCTTTTCGCCATCAAATCCATTCGCCTCTCCAGTATTCGATATTTTTGCAGACGATACACATTTGCATTTGAACATTTAAACTACTTATAAATTTTGTCAGTAGCACAGAACAACAATAAAATTTACAGTAGGTAAAGTGATAACGACGACTGAAAAACTTGCTCTTATTGTAGCTGGTAACTCGGTTTAATAGTGAATAGCTTTAAACATTAAAAATATTTCAGGAATTTAGGATTTTATTGTACAACTAGCAATCAGCTAAGAAAGTCTTATTGAGCACAGTGACAAATAAATAAAAACGTTAAATGAATCTGCGAGATATGTCATTACATGTTTATATTACTACGAGGGAGATTCGCTACTGCTGACTCATTTTTTGAGTCAGGTTACACTTATAGGTTATCTTTAGGTAAGTTTACCTTCCCACTTGACTGATTATGTCGACCGGTCATTCGCTGGTGTCTTGGGTGTCCCTGATAACCCAGCTGATAAAATGCTTTGGTGTGTGAAACGGTGGCCGTAGGATTTCAGTCTCAGTATGAACACTATTACCCACTAGGAACATCCAGTTGAAAAGTCCTATTTACGAAGAAATAAGCATCCTGGATCCAAGTGCTCCTCACCGTCAACCAGAATAAAATGACTCATAGTGATGAAACGTAACAATAGGACTTATGAAATATGTGGAAAATCAAAACAAGTGATTCAGCGAAGAGACTTTTCAACGAATTTATCATCAAGCTGTACAGTTTTGTCCAAGAGGGTGCAAGAACACTATCCTGCATGGCTACGAAAAGGCGGAAGTGGGCAATAAGAAGCACGATCATGAACATCTTGTCGATAATGATCACCCTATCTCTATAGCCTCTGCCTTTAAAGTCATCTATAAGGCAAAGTTTAATTTACCCAAATCCCTACGTACCCGACTCACTGTATTGCTGAAGCTTTGGCTATCCAAACAGAAAAGCCAGATCTCTGTGTTCGTTCAACCCCTCCAACTTTCATGGTCTTAATCCCTCTATGCTAAAATATGGTAATCCCAATCATATTTTAGCTCTACCAATTTTTCATTTTTTTATTTTGTTTATTCAATTTGTATACTCTTCATTATTACGTCAATTGTTATTATTACTATTCTCACTTTGGACTGTCCCCGGTATTATTTCATTTGTTCCACTCTTCATTCTAAATCAATTGTTTTTTACAACGATAAATTCTATGCTATTAAATTTCACACAATATTACGTAACGTTTTTGTTTTATTCGATTTGTCTACTAATCCTATAATTGCACACCCTTTTTCAAGTTCTATCCCTCCTATAAATTATTCTATAGATGACATTAATTTGCTTTGCCCTTGACATTTAACTATAAGTATAATCACAAACATTTTAGTTTTTTAATTGCATTCCATGTGCGTCGGTGGTATAACGGTTAGGACGCTCGCCGATCATGCATATGGTCCGGGTTCGATCCCCGGCCGGCGCACTCCTTTACCTCACTGAGCCAGAAATAATGCTGGTAAAGATGAAAGGTTGGGCGTGAGGCTAGCAACCCCATCCTGCTACAGAAACTTCAAGCCACTAGCTTGGAGCCCTATGTTCCACTGGGAATGTGAAGGAAAAAAAATTGCATTTCATACTATAATTATTATTTTATGCATTCACACCTAAGATTCAATTCCTCCACCGGATATAACTTCTTAAAAACCATATATATACGACTGTACAGCTTGATGATAAATTCGTTGAAAAGAGTCTCTTCGCTGAATCACTTGTTTTGGTTTTCTATATGTTACAATGGGAATTTTCCATGAGTTAAGAAATATGGTTGGCTAGTTGGTCGAAATAATTTTGTCTTTGTTCAAGTAGAAGAACAGGACACATTGTGCCCAAAGTGTTCATATTCGAAAGAAAACATGAGATGTTTAGAACTTATCGGAACAAAACATAAACCCTCCTTACTGTAAATACCACTAAAATGATGCTAATTGGGCGTTGAACACACAACAAGATCTTTACAGAAATGTTTAAAAGTTACTCAAATGATATACATATGTTTAACGAATTCAATGATGAACTCATTAAAACCGAAGTTTTTATATTAAACTTTAGTAATTAGTAATTATGTCTGTGACTATTCAGTGGGATTGAATAAGAATATGGTAAATCATTCTATTTTGAAAGTACCTACAATTCAAAACTTAGAGTTCACTTTTGCAGAGTGAAGTAGACTGTTGTTTAGCAATGAGGATTCACCTTACAAATGAATTCCGTTAGCAACATGAAACAAGTTAATTTTTCATTGGTAGAAAATGATCGAAGAAGAACATCGCTGACATCACACCACAGATCAATAATTTTTGGTAATTTCTTTGATTCTAAATAATTATCAGTCTGTTAAGGTGCTCGTCAAGTTTAAATTTAATGAAAACGACTTAAATGTCAGATCAAAGTCTTTCAAAGTAGGCCATTGATGAGCTGAGTTCTGAGTGGATGACTTGACTATCTGATGCTAACGAACACAATTGATTAGGACGAATGGTTTTTAGCTACTCTTACCAGTGAGTAGTGTACAGACATATGTCTCACCTCTGTTTTGTTTACTTAACTGGAAGCTATTCATGGCATCTAACGAATCACAATCTCTAGCTTGAATATCATCGTCTGTAAAGAATCTTTGTCTAAGAGTAGTTGCACATTGCAAAGAATATTTATTGGAACTTAGTCATCTTGTACAGCCTGTTTCTTATACGTTTAACTTTGTCAAACTTGACATTCGAAAGTTTGAAATTCTACCTGACTGTCAGATTCACGGGCGGTGGCATAGTGATAAATTATTCTAAGGTGATCCTGAAGTTGTTTTACTCGCCTTTCACAAAGCAGTTTATGGATTTAAACTTCAGTGAATATTTTCAAATTTCTTTTTACATGATTAGTATTGTTGGCAGTGGGAAAAATAGCTAGGCGCCTATCCTGATGAAGGCTGGCATAATATCCAGTCATCTGCACAATCATTGATAAGGGTCTTTAGTCAATTTCAAACTAATGAATATTGAGTACCAGTGGATTTTTGTTCCTTCATTCGAAGTGATAAACGCAGAAGATAAATCCCAGCTGGTTCCAGACATGATGAATATCGAAAACTGCTCGAACGTTAGCTGACTGTGCGACGGTGGCACAATAGTAGAATGATCGCCAACTACGTATGTGGTTAGTTCCCCGGTTGACGCACTCTTTCGCCTCGCTAAGCCAGTAATCATACTGTAAAGAGGGAAGGTTAGGTATGAGGCTAGCACAACATCATATAAAAATTAACACTACTGCTACCGAAACTTCAAGCCTCTAGCTTGAAGCCCTATGTTCCATCGGGAACACAAAGGAATCAAAAATATAAAAAATGCTGACTTAGATGTACAGGTAAATGGTTAGAGGAAATACATAAATATGTCAACTGTCAAATAATAATAATACTGATAGTGATGATAATAAATGTATTAATTAAACTTACTAACCAAGCACTCCAATTTCTTCATAATGATCACAGGATTTATGTTCTTGATTGTACTGATTTTTAACGGATATTCAATGCGTTCAGTTTCATCTTCTAAAATAAAGTTTACAAAACCAAGTTGTCATAAATACCTTATAACTGGTTCTGAAATTTCTGTGACAGTATAATTGACTGAGATCACCGTTTATCAATCACAAACAGACATCATTTAGGAAACTATCAAAAGCCAAGGAGCTCTGAACAACTATTCAGGCGTAGTTTGGGACTTTTAATGTTTGTGCACTCATGACTCCAACAGCTGTCAGATTCAGACTACTAGGCTAGTCCAGTGACGTTTAGCCAAAGGACTAGTTATTTTTAGTCTCAGCGAACTCACCACATACCGCTGTCTTAGTCCTATTTCATCGGTAAGTATTTGTCCTTAAACTGTACTTCGTGAAGTTACTTACCTCAACTTTTTTCAAATCTTTTACGTGCTCAATAGAACATAGGATTCATGCTAGAGACTTGAAGTTTCGGCAGCAGGGATGTTTATTTTTACATGCCTAACCTTTCCTCTTTACCAATCTGATTACTGGCTTAGTGAGGTAACGGAGTGCGTTGGTGGCCGGGGATCGAACCCGGACCACTTGCGCAGTCGGCAAGCATTTTAATGCCGTGCCACCGACTCGCGAAGTTATTTACAATACTTGAAAATCCACCAGTAGGTGTTTTCAAATGTATAAGTGAAACGTTTAGTGTTATATGTATTTAGGGCTGATTTGTGCTTAGTCTTTGAGTTAGCCTAATGGCATAGGATCATTATATTTCCAGTTGGTGCGAGTACATTTCAGCTACTTTGATTATTGGTTTCCATGGTGTATGTGTTTCAGCAACCTACCTGTTATTTCAGAAGGAGATATATCATGGGTCAGGGTTCCCCGAGTGATTTATGTACCAGACATTTGGCCCTAACATAGACTAAAAGTCATATAATTGTATTCCTGTTGGTACATGCTATCCAGTAATTGTACAAATTTGTCATCTTAAATAAGTAATTTATTGGTTATGTGAAATAACCTCGGTGGATGTGTGCTGATGAGAGTCTTAAACTAGGATGAAACAGTTGTCCATTACTCACTGCAGGTTTTCCAATGGTTCTCTAACCGATGTCAGCACATGATGAAATCTTGTAACCAAATAATTGTATATTTAGCAAAATGTACCTGGCTCAGCAGCAGCAGTCAAACTGGTAGATACAAATAGAGGAGGCGAAATTAGGTAGTTTGTCCTTATTTCTCGAAGGTGAAATAGGTATGGTGGTGAAGAGACAACATTGGGAGTAAGATTCGGCAGGTTCATCGCCGTAAACAAGGGACAAACAAGATCTCTTCACAAATCTGTTTCAGCTCACCTTGTAGATAGTGAGCATAAAGTTGATGTTAATACAACACTAAAACTATTTATCGCATTCCTACTAATCCAATTTTTTCTTTCCGAGTTCGTCTTCTACATACAGCTGAAGACATAGGAATCCACCTGAAAAAGCCAAACCTGTGTGTTCAGAAGATATTATGGCAGCCACTTTCTTTACCCTGACCAAAGTCACATAAATGCATAAATCGCATTACTTCACCTCTAAACCTTTAAAAATTATAATGGTCGAAATTATTTTATTATTTTTCTAACTACTTCATCTTTAATTACATGTTATCATTGCTGTAATCATTTCTACTTTTTAACTGTTTGAATTATCTATCTTGGTTATTATCAAGCCCAGTCACATGTTGATATTCACAAACATATCGTCACTTGATTAGTAAACTGTTTTATATTGTAATAAACTCTTGCATTCTACCTATTCTTCTTTATTGTTCACCCTTATTCTTTCCTGGTTTGCTTAGAAAGGACTATGTCACAATTCGTAGAGTGCTGAAGACGGTCAGTAGGGTGATGGTGTCCCAGTGGGGACCACATAGTTAACATCGTTGTCGATAGGCAGTAAATTTCCTAGAGAGATTTTGTCTGACTTGGAGCATCCACTTTACCCCTAGCTTTCACCGTGCATCTCCTCAGGTAGAACAAGAAGTAACTTCAGAAAACTGTATGCTCGCACGTCTAAGTATAACAATTCTATGATACCATACTTCGCACGTATTTTGTGTGATGAAATAGTGTCAGGCAAGAATTAACTAACCTTTTTTCATCTAGTAAAAAGACAAGTTTTACTTTTATTATTTCTATTATATTTGTGTTCCTGTTGCTTCTTTGTTTTACTCTCATAATTGCAAACACCAACTTGTCTCTATGACTGCTGTAATGTTTGTTTTTCCCCTCACCATATCATGTAAAGAGAACATTATATTCAATATTTTTAAACATGCTAGGATTTCTATACCCATCCACAATACTGTGTGAAATAAGCCCACGGCAATTTTCACTTGTATTATTATTACCCTAACTGTTATCATTATTTGAATAAGGCATTAAGAAGACAAATTTCGCGAGATGATATCATTTCGTAGTTTCTTTACAACCGCTTTTTAGTAGTAAAGCGGTTGTAAAGAAACTACGAAATGATATCATCTCGCGAAATTTGTCTTCTTAATGCCTTATTCAAATTTATCAAAGGGACTAATTGTTTTAATGTTATCTATTATTATTATTTCCATTTTATATGCTGCATTTTTTTGACACTACCTCTATTGTAAATGCGGAAAATTTTCTATGTGATTAATTTTATTTATAATTTGAGGAAATTAGATGCGATATTCTGATTAATTCTGAAAATTCCATTCTGTATCACAAGTACTGTTTTTGGAATAAAGTAAATCATTATTATTATGATCATTATAAAAATGCTATATACATATTAGAGTAGAGCAGAGATGAGGATCTAATTAAAACGTAAATATTTCTTCGCTCAATCCTTTTGCTTTTAAAAATCCTTTACTTATTTAGCTTAGGAAATTTAAACCGGCGACAATTGTTAACAGATAGACCCCATCCAAAGATGCCCCTAAGAATCATAAACTATTGAACAATGTGTGGCTAATATATATATATATATATATATATATATATATATATATATATATATATATATATATATATGTCACCTGGGAACTGACACATAGAATTCGAAGTAAAGAACGTTGAATTAGAAAATCGCTCCGAATAAAAGTTGAAATGAGCATCATGTTTTTATGATTAGCTACTGCCAAGTATAATTAAGATGCCTGTCCACAGAGCAATTGATTATGAAGGACGTCTGACACATATTAAGTGAGTTAGTTGGTTAGTTACATTTCCGAGGTACACATCATGAATTTGCTTAACTCAGGCATGTATTTGATGGTATTAGATGGTTGGGGGCAATCTGCCGCAGGAAGCTTTACTTGACCTAGATTTAGTGCTAGTTGGCACTCGTTAGCAACATTGAAGGAACTCATGTCCCTTCTGAGATTCGAACCCGCGTCACCCAGTTCCGGCTGCAGTCAGAGACGTTACCACTGAGCTATTTGGGCTCGCGATTGACCTCCTGTAGGATTGTAGTGGGTATTTTGTTTTGACCTAGTCACTAGTGTGATGCATCTAGTCCTCGGAAGGGACATGAGCTCATTCAAGATTGCAGATACGCCTTGCTGACGAGTGCAACTAGCACGAAACCTGGGTCCATGGCTTACTGTGGCCGATTGCCTCCAACCATCTAGTAACATTAAATCAATGTGCACCGTGATGGCAAGCTAGCTAGAATGGCGGTCACATTACAACCTGACTGATAGAATTCAGTCTACACCAATCAGAGGACTAGACGCATCTAACTAGTTACTAGTGTCAAATCAAAATATCAGGTATGTATTTGTTTATCCTCGTATACGTGTTTAACAACCTCGTATTATTTTCTCTTCCCCGGGTGCTAGTTATAAGTTTATTGATAATTAATATATGATATATTAAACTATTACTAATGCTTTTAGCTTATCAACAGATTCAATATTTCAGGGTTTCATATTGGCACATTTTTCCAAAGGTGTTCATACCACAAAAATGTAACTGGAATATATTTCATCCCAAGCGACTAAAAAAGCGTTTCACTTACCTTTACATGTAAATGTAACTTCTTCGCTTACACATTTAACATAATGTTTATTCGATGCTTCTATAGAACTACAGATGTCCGATTTTACAACTGCTTTGGCGTCTGTACATAACTTTGAATGCATTTGATTCGACGTCGCATTTGGAAGTGATACATTTTGAGAAACAAGCGACTGACGACTTGATGAGTGTTTTGTTACTAATGTTATCATTTTGGCATCATTACTTTCTGGGGTTGATTCTCTTTGATTTTTATACGCTTCTTTCTTAACAATTTTACACTGACTTTGTTTTACTTCTTCATGAGAATAAGCAGAGTACTTTCTGACAGACGGTATAAATGAATTTGAATCATCAATGTTATTTATATTGCTTTTACTTGAAGTATTTTGACAAACAGATTCACAACTTCTTTTAATTTGACCATTCTGTCTGCCAATTTTTTGATCTTTTGAAGTGAATGAAAGACAATCAGTCTTTGTAACCGAGTGTATTTGACAATGCTCATGTTGGTTATCTCGCTGCATATTATTGGTAGTAGGCAATCCTGAGGAGTCACGATCGGCTGGTGTGGTTTTAATAGCCGGCATAAGACACTGTAATGGTGGAGGTGATGATGAGGAGGATGAAGATGTTTTAGAACGAACACTTGTATTGCGTGAGTTATTGAGAATGTCTTTTGTAATAATATTACCTACACCAATGGTACTATAAAACATACTGTCAACTGGCTCATTAGTTTTAGTTAAGTTATTGTTATCATTTTTCATGTCTTCTAATTGTTTCTTAAATCTTGGTATACGATTGATAACTTGCTTACTTGGAGATATACAAGTCGTTCTAGATGGTGTTTGAAATTTTTGTATTAATTCACGTATTTTACTTTGATGACTGTGATGCAGTTCATGAATATCAGGATGAATAACTGCCTTATCAAGTTCATGATTTTTATGATGCGGAATATCACTACTTATTTTAGGACTGACAGTAGTATCAATAGCAGAAGCTGTTGAATTCAAAGAGGTAATACTGCCACTTTTACAAATTTTATCATTTTTTCCAATTGTTTGAAGGGTATTGTTTTCTCGGTCAGTGAATTTACGCTGCTCCCTTGAATTTTTTCTAATCGCTCCAGATCGTTTCAACCTCTCTTTACCATGTTCTTTTTGATGACAAGTTGTACTCTCAACTGTTTTACTTACTAATTCAGCTGCATCATAAACAAACGCCTTATTTACTGGTTCTGTAGGTGAACCACTTTTTATATTAGACAACGATGCTGATGTAATGTTATTTTTATATCTAGATGGAGTGAACAATCTTTTATCAACTAATATGGAACTGATATTTGGACGTTTTCTTACTGGTTCAGGTGGAAGCTGGTCTGTGCTTATGGTAGGATTCACCTCTGGAGTTTTCGAAAATTTTCTAGCGAGTTATAGTATCCTTTTCCACATGAATATTCATTATTATTATTATTATCATTATCAAGAGAGTTATTCTGTTTAACACAGATTTTTTTGTCCAACGATGAACTCTGATATGTTGGCGGAGAGGATGTGTCCACAGGCTTTTCATTTGTAGTCAAGGCACATGGATTGATTTTAGAACAGTCTAAAACTCGTTGATTCTCTGATTCATCACAGTCTGAAAGATTCAGACTTTTTGATACATGATTAATGGATTCATTACTTTTTCCATCTCCATTTAAAGTAGACGAAAGAGGCGGAATTGAAACTACTTCCCGCTTATTGTCCAAACTATAATCTTCTTTCTGTTCACAGTTCTCTCTTTCTTCATTTGAAAGTTCCGCTCTTGAATCTGTAATCTTACTTTGTTCCGATGTTTTGATAACTTCTTTATCCGGGAATCTGTCTAAAAATTAATAAAAACGCGTTTTATTTATTTACGTGAAATCATTTTACCTCTAACTGTGTATACAAATTTACATGTATCTGCGGGAGCAGTTACATTGGAAGGACAGAAAGAAGGGCATATCTACGATTTTCTGAACATGTACCAAAAAGCTTACGTCTAAAGGGAACAATTGCTTTAAACAGTGCCATCACCAGGCACCTCCTTGACACGGGTCATGAGGTGGACGTCGAAAAGTCGTTCAAAAATATCAATAAGCAAAATAGCTCAATTCTCCTCAAGTTTGCTGAAGCCATTTCCATCAAGCGCCTGAAACCTGATTTATGCGTCCAGAAAGAAGCAGTTATCAGTCTTTCTTTGCCCTGGTAACTGGATAATTTCACCTCTCTTTCCTCCGAATGTGAAATGCTAAAAGTTTCCATTGTGTTTGATTATTATTGTTCGGAATAGTGGTTAATATTGCATATTTATATATGTATATATTTTTAGTGTATGCGTATATTGATCGATTGATTTTTGTTTAAACTTAACTCTGTGCAAGTATGTTAAAATTGTTGTTGTAGATATATTTAATAATGTCTTTGCCATGTAAGCAGCTGACGAGAAGGCAACGAAATATAAGATGGCACCATTTTATTCTGCTAAAATTGTAGTTCTTGCTTTGTTCAAAATAATTTTCAATCATACAAAGTACAGATTTATGATTGTATAGAGCACTGAATCAAAATTCGGTCACATTATAACTAAATATTCATAGATAATTCAAATGAGTGTATATTCAATTCACTTTTAGATTCTCCCGTCGATTGATTGGACTAAAGTGCTCGGTCTAAGGTGGACATGTCAGCTTCTTGTGCAGATGCTTTGACGATATCTGGGCATGTTATTAGAAGTTATCTAGTAGATGATGACTAGCACTTGTGGAATCCAGGCCAACGCACATTTCATCCTATTTGAGGCTCGTCATCTCGATGTACTTGCATTCCCCAGTGAGTAATGGTGTTCCCACCGAGGCTCTAACCCATTACCCAGGCATCGTTGAAGTATCTGCACAAGAAGCCGATATGTCAACCTGAGACCGATCACTTTGGACCAATCAGTTGATGAGAAAATTTAAAACTGAAATGAATAATAAATATGACCCGTTGGACAAGAGGAGGCTATCGTGTCCCAGCTGGTCTAGTGGATAACACTTTGACATTTGAAACTATGGGCACTGGGTTACAGCCTCAATGGGAATACGATCACTCACTGACTGGAGAATGCAGGTACATCCAGCTGAAGACGAGTCACGAATAGGACGAAATAGGCATGAATAAATGGAGATGGATTGGTCATCATCTGAGGAGACCTACAAGTGACATCACTAGACAAGCCATCGCATGAGTGGAACCCAAAAGGGAAGCGGTGAGTTGGCCGTCAGTGCGAGGGTGGGGTGACTTGGAGGAGGTCATGTGAAGAGGAGATGAAAGCATGTGGGTAGACTTGGAGCAGGGTGAAAAAGTTGGCAGAAAACCGAACGCAACGGAGACGCGCTGCTGAAGCCCTATGTTCCTCTAGGAACTAAAGGAAATAATAATATAATAATATTACTGGGTAAGCTATTCTCTCAGGTATCTTGAAAACTCTAACACAGTAACATGAGTACGCATGAGTGATCATACTATCTTTTAATGTTTTTAGAAAAGTTGGATAAAACAAGCATGTTCAAAAGAAAACATCATTTTTCTCATCAAGTCGTTCATTATTCAACATGTTTGATGTAAGAAGAATATTATTTGCTATTTATTGTGTTGACTCGAGGATGTTTTAAAAGATATAAAGTATGATAAACAATTTGAAAATTGGAATAACTGATACGTAGCTTCTTAAAGAACTACATAATCACTATCTTTTTCTCTGTTAACACAAATTTCTCGAATTATTCATTAAATTTGAATGTTTAGTTTAACGTAACATCATTTAGCCAACTTATGAATGTATTGTGGAAGATTAGAAACGAAAACCGAAATGGCTGGCAGTGGCGCTAATATATCATGGGCCGACCAGTAGATTCCATCAAATGGTCAGAGAGCTAGCTTTGCCACCTGAAGTCCTGGCTTCGATATCTCGGGGGGGGGGTGGTCATGAAAGCATGCTGATGGAGAGAACCAAACTCAGATGAAACAGCTCGCCACTACTCTCTATTTTTCAGCCGTTCTCTAACTAATGTCCAACGTCCAACCCCTGTCCCTGCCATGGCCATCATAAACAGGTAATTTTTTTAGTAATGACCATCCCATTGCCTTTCTTATCTAAACTTCCTGCTTATTTATATTATTTTTAAGTTATTCTTAATCCCTGTTTACACTACCATATTTTCATATCCGAAATTCTTGTTTATTTTGTCATTTTACTATTTCTACATATTTAATCCCTGATTGCGCAAACAATTATTCATCACATTGGTTTTTTTGTCCAAACATCCTGTCTATTTTTGTTATTTCTACATTTCTAACCCCCCAATCTCACAATCTGTCAATCATCTTAGTAATTATGATGCTACTTTGTTTGAGTTTTATCCCTCCGTCTGTTTATTATGGCATTCTAATTCCTAATTTTAATTTTTTTTTATTAATTTGACCCTTAACCGGAAATTATTCTGGAACTTTCCCATCCATTTGATATAAATACACGAATGTACAGCCTAGATGATGACTTCGTCGAAAAGAAAATTTTCTTCGCTGCAACCGTCTTCTTAATAACTTCTATGACCTAATGTGTATATTCCATGTTAGGATTTCTATACCCCATCCACAAAACTGTGTGAAATAAGCCCACGGCAATTTTCACTTGTATTATTATTATTATTACCCTAGCTGTTATCATTATTATTGTTATTTCCATTTTATATGCTGCATGTTTTGACATTACCTCTATTGTAAATGTGGAAAATTTTCTATGTGATTAATTTTACTTATAATTTGAAGAAATTAGGTGCAATATTGTGATTAATTCTGAAAATTCCATTCTGTATCACAAGTACTGTTTTTGGAATAAAGTAAATCATTATTATTATTAGATTTTCTTATCTTATAGTATAACCTGATGAGAATATACAGAAGATACACAATTGGTAGCTTTAATCGTGTTACACAATTATCTTAACAAGAATAATTTATTAAGCTGTTGCTTGAAATATCACGTATGTTTAGAATGTAATTTTTTGCACACCCACCTATTAGAAGAATGATCTCTCCTAAGGTGTTAAGCAACTCACTCAATTAAGCTTAGATCTCATTAATACATAATTAGGAAAATGTGTAAATTTGAATCTTGGTCTCCATTTTTTAAAACATACTTCTTCCAGTCGAGTCATTTTTTATCGCCAAGAGTAAAAAAGCGGACTGCTTAAATCATTGGGCTACCGAAATTACTTTCCTCCAAAATGCTTAATTTCATCTGGATTTATCATCGTTTTAATTGTCCAGTTATATCCAATGACCTATGCATAAACTTGCGCGATGATTTAACTTGACCACAAGTAAACGCTGTACAATTCTTCAACGAAATGAAGATATACTTTAGATTATTAATTTACATGTGAATCCTGTGTGAAGAAAAAAGTACTTTGAAGCTAAATACGCTGAAAATTTTTGTACCGTGTATTCGCATACTGTGTTAAATAAAGCTTTACCATTATTATAATAATAATTACTATTAAAACAAAGAGAAGAGTTATTCCATTCATCTGTTCCCAGTCCCATATAGTTCCCACAGAAAGTTATTCACAAGCATGAGCAGCTCAGTGATTACATGTTTGACTGCAACCCTGAATGACATGGGTTCGGATCTCAGAAGGGACATGAGTTCCTTCAGCATTGCACGGACAGCTTGCCGACACGCATGAAACATAGGTGGTCTAAGGATTCCTCCTGATTGTCTGCAATCATCTAATAACAACAATTTACAGTACTCTATGATGACGAATCATCTAGTATGGTGACCACATTGAAAAATTGACTGACAGAATTCAGTCTGCACCAAATAAAGGACTAGATGTGTGCTGTTAGTTACTAACTAGTGTCCATTCATCCATGTAGATCAAAATAAAACTGCTGGATGAGTGCAGGTGAAGTGGTTTAAAACAAATTCGTTACATACTTCGAGATGTCATTGATTCTAACTAATTAGCCTGCATTTCATGCCAATTTTGTAATTGTTTTCAGGTCATTTGACCGCAATATAAAAAGGTTTACGAAATAACCATATCTGTTTTCTGTATGTCTTCTTTAGGAGCTTAGCGATATTTGGAAAGAAATGCAGAGTTTATCAAAAAGGGCTGGAGGCTGCAATAATGAACAATAAGCGTCCATAAAAGACATTGAAACAGCAACAATCATTGCAATTGCCATGTATGTATTAGCGATCAAATTCTGAGTGAAACAAGATCACATATTCAGATATATTAAAAAGTAAAAAAAAAATCAAAAAGCAAAGCTAGGACAGTAGAATTCTATCATGAATTCTACTTTCAGCATACACATTCAACTTACAGTCATATTCTTCATTTTCAAAAACTGATGCTTGTAGACCCTTGGATGCTTCCACATATTGCATTACAATTTCTTGTACAACACTACTGATAGAGTCTTTCTGATTCTCTTTATTCGGTTCATTTAAATATCGTACTTCAATAAGTTTTGTATGACTGAATGGATTTAAATCAATATCACTCCATGATCTTTGTGATGATTGATAACCTGAATACTGATTAATATCTGATATAGTAGAACCTGTGCCTGATCTATGACCAATGTTGATTAAATTAGAGGAGAATATAATATCATTGAGTGATTTCACGTTGGATGTAGTTGAACTCTAAATTAATAGATAAGTCAAAAGACCATTATTTATATATTCCATAGAAAGATGAAAGAGCTTTGTCATCATTGAATAGATTGACAACTTGTGATGTTAGAAGGCATTCGAACATCAAGTGATCAAATGATTGAAATCAAATGAAAATTCACGTGTGAAGGAGAATATCAAAATAAAAACTGAAAGGTAAAGTGTCTAAGTGAGGCCATGTCTTGTAACCATAAGGTCCTGGGTTCGAAACTCGGTGGATGCGTACTGATGAGGAGTCCTGAACTAGAACGATAGAACTGTCCACTACCTCCAGGTTTCCCGGTGGCTCTCTAACTGACGTCAGCTCATGATGAAATCAGCTAACCAATCAAACAAAATCTCTACAAAACCAATACTTGAGAATTAATGTTGTTAATAACAATATTTCTTTACAATTATTACGGTCATATTGTGGTGAGAGCTGTCTGCGAGACAAAATTCGTAGACAGTAATTTACGTCAACATTTATGTCCCATATCATGGTCATTAGAAAAAAAATGAAGACTAATTCCATAACTAATTACAGCAGACTTAGCGTGGGCGGATACGATTAGCAGACATGTGGTCTGACCATCAAATAAACAGCCACAAAGAGATGAAAGATTAACTTTCTGCGAGAAAACAACCAATCGGAAGACACTGTTTCTCTGTTAATAATTACGAATAATAATGCACATAAAAAATATATAAAAATCTGTTGATTTCCTCAATAAGCGATTTTTACGCGGCCCTTGTCTTCTATCGTTACAATATAAGTGTAGAACCTGACGAGAAATTTATCGAAACAATATTCATTGTTCATTTATCAGTCTTCTGAAGTTAAAAACTGTTTCTCAAGCCTACTTTGATAGATTTATATTGTCATTAGTGGTGGTACGATGACTACGTCATTGGAACAAATTTATTTAGTTATAATAAAAAAGAATTTAATATTATAAAAGAATGGTAGTTGAATCCATTCCTCCAAGAGGTTCCGCTATACTTCAGATACTCTGTACTACTGAATATTCTTCGCATCATATTTAGGCGACCAAAGTCTACTTTTAATGTGCTTTAGAGTTTTGAAACTCTAAACGTGAAGATTAATCTAGGCTTAAAATACTCTACTGTCAATCAATGGAGGTTGGCTTTGAATGTCACTTCATATACTTCAGCCTGAAAATCTGATTAGTAGCGCATTAGCCGTCAGACAATTAATGCTGTTCATAGCGTATCTTGAGATTTGAATTTTATCAGTAAGCAACTTGTCTTACATTTTCAGAAAGAATAAAAATGAAACTATCTTAGTGTTTAAGCTCATTAGACAAAATTCCTTTGCTTACAGGCTAGATTTGTAGTGGAAAGATTTCGGTTTGCGAAAACCACATTTCAAGATTGACCTTTGGGGGTAGACAACCATTAAATACATCCTTATGGCTTATATTAGGGACAAACTTGATTTCTATATTAGTTTGTTTATTTGAAGTCGTGTGATTACAATTGATATGACAATGAACAATAAATTTTGTTTGAAAAGTCATCCAGTAAATGATAATACTGTTTCACTGTGTGATATATCTAATAAACAAACTAATATGGAATTACTTACTACCACAGTGCCCAAGTTTTACACATATATAAACTTGATTTCTATCTGTTTTTCTAAAACTTTTGTTGTGGTTGATTAATACACTTAATGTACATTCTGAAGGCATATCTTTCAGTGTGATACCACAATTAGCAACATATTTCTGTGTTGTTCTTATATTAAGCATCTGCTTCTGACGACACAGTGTCTTGACAACTCTCCAGTGATGTTGCGTATTTTCTTTAACTGTTATGTGCATGTGTTTTTGAACATAGCCTGAATTTCTAAATAAATTATCACAACAATAAAAAATGCAACACGCAAGTTGGATGGAATGCATAAACTTATGCCTAACAACGCACTTGAAATTCAATGGTCAAATATATCAACAAGTTAAAAGAACACCCATGGTATCACTTTTATCAGGTTTATCTGCAGAAGCACTGATGCAAAGGCTCGAAAAAATAATCCTACCAAAGATCAAACACAATATTTGGACACGTTACGTAGATGACACATTTGTATTAAAGGAAAGAAACCAGTTGGATAAAGCCATAACTTAATAAACGTCTTCAACGACATCAAATTCATAAGAGAAGAGGAATTCAAGAGCGAAATCCAATTTTTGGACGTCTTAGTCAAGCGAACAAACACAGGGGAATTAGAAACTCCAGTTTGCAGAAAATCAACTCACACAGACCAAATACTGAATTACAACAGCAACAATCCAATAACACACAAAAGGAATTAGTATACAAACACTATTCAAGAGAGCCACGAGGCATTGCAACTCTCCCACTTTAAGGAAAATTGAAGAAAGATATCCCAAGGGCGTCTTTCAAAAGAATGGATATCTACGGAATTTCATCAAAAGACATTTACCCCCAAGTCAACCTACCAAATCAAAGGCCCACAGGGAAAGCACAAGGAAAATCACCCTATCATCTACAAAAGACATCTCAGAAATCACTACAAGACTCTTCAAACCTTTGGGTATTGATGTTGCACACAAACCAACAAAACCATTTCGCTCAGCCAGCCCTGTATCAATCACAAGACTCAACAGCGAATGAAGGTAAAACCAACATCATCTACCGAATAAGCTGCAACGATTGCGAAAGACGCTACATTGGCCAAAGTGGACGTCCCTTCGTCTTCGTATCCATGAACAAAAACTAACCTTCAAAAGACATGATATCCGCTCCCTCATATCACTCCACACTGACAACCACGGACATCAGTTTGACTGGGAAACCAGTGTTCAAATATTAGATAGAGGAAACACCAAGAATGCTAGAGAAGTTTTAGAAGCCTGGTATTCCATTGAATCGTCAGTTAATAGACATACTGACATAAACAAAATTTATCAGGAAATCTCACACACAAATGGTCAAAGTTCAAGTCAAGGAGACAATCAGTGCCAATATAAGTAACCTAGAAGTTGTGAAAACACATAAAAACAATCAATCACTACCAAGGCCACCAAGAGGGGTGACTAATAAACTCGTGGAGAAATCTAAAAGCTCACTTCAATTGAAGTATGCTTAGTAGGGTAATGAAGCTTCCATTCAGCTCAGAGAACACAACTACATCAGAGAAATTATCATACTGTTTATGAAAGACTGGATCAAACGCTACAATAAATAACTTTGTGATAAATTTTAAATGGAGAATCCAGTGGATTTTGTTTAAATCATCTATTTTTAGCACTAATATAATCCTTGGGCGTCTGTAGACACTTAGATATCCATTTCACTCATTAATTTGTAACATTAACACACTCAGTGTTCCACCTAAAGTGCTTCAATGAGTTACTCAGATCGTCTATTTCATATAATCCAATTTATACACATATACAAAAGTAGGTATATATAATTGAGCTTGTATAGCTAAGTGGATGAATTCACCTAACGATATGTTTTGTTTTCATCAACATACAGATGGGGATTATTCATAATCTAATTTTACTAAAAGATCACTTATTTTCAAATAACTAGACAAAAAATTGTTTATGAAACCTTTGTGAATCCGTGGTCCAAAAGGAAATTTTTTGGAGTAACATAGTCATGAAAACAGTCCGTAGGACTTTAGTGACTTCGATGCAAATGTATAATTTAGTAAACGAAGGAGACATTGGATTGTATAATAAAGTTATAGCACTTCATTTCCTCACTTGTGAACACTTTAGATGCTGTTATCATTACGTGTCATCATTATGTGAACTAACTGTCTAGTCTAGCGAGGCAAAATTACAGGCTGTTTCATTGATTACTACTCATTAATTGTACTTTAAAGTTTAGTTAGGGAAATTTTGTTTATCAAATTGAAAAGTGTTTCATAAAGTTATGTAAAAGGAATAAATGAATTTACTTGTACATAAGGAGTAAATTGATATCAAGGTTAATTTTGTTTAAAAAGAGTATTAACTAAAGAGCCAAAAATGAAACGTAAATAATGTCAAATTTTTCAACACAGTGCATCCATGAAATTACTCTTGAAACGAGATAAATCTCCCAAATCATAACCAGTTGAATGCAATTAATGGCCTATTGGTTACTGGTTTTGAGACAATATTACTTGGAGTTGTAGTGATAAGTCACAACTCCTATAACACACCATATTGTTTATGGGAATAAAGAGCTATGAAAAACATAATAGGTTGTTGGTAGTTTGTCGTGATTACATGTAAAAGTGGAGAATTGTGGATTACGAGATTCTAATCTAGTTGCAAGTCATTGATGTCACAGTGGTAGAATCCTCTCCGACCACGTATGTGGTCCGGGTTTCGACCCCCGACCGATGCACTCCCTTACCTCGCCAAGCCAGTAATAAGACTGGTAAAGAAGGAAGATTGGGTGTCAGCCTAGCAACTCCATCCCGTAAAAATAAGCACCACTGCTACCGAAACTTCATGCCTCTATCTTGAAGTCCTTTGTTGCAGTGGGAACTCAAAGGAATAAAAAACAAAATCTGGTTGCACAACAGTCTTGAAGTTGACATCTCCGAAGAAATCATCAGGAAGTAGTTGACCTGTCGGTAAAACTGAAACATGGCATCTAACGGCTTTTATCCACTAATGAAATACTTCCGTTACATATATGAAGTAGATATTAGGACCGCAGACTTAACAGACTTCAGCCATGTTTTTAAAACAGAAAATAGCAATTAAATTTTTTCACTACTAAATGGTTTATCATAAGTTTTTGATAAGAAATGAAGATAAATTTTAGTGTAGATTGTATGTGTGCGTCGGTGGCACAGTGGTTAGGACTCTCGACGACCATGCACATGGTCCGGGGTTCAAGCCCACACCGGCGCACACCAGATATCTATGGTCGGCCTGCGAAATTTGGGCTACCGATATCCATGCTGCAAATTCCATACTTGTACCAAAAATACAGTGTGGAATCAAGCTGTTACCAAAAAAATAAATAAATAAAATAAAGTTAAACTAAAAGACTAGCCATTTCACTTTTCTTCACTATACAACTTGAAAAATTCGAACAGCTACTGACGATTCTGTCTGGACGTGGAATATTCAGCTGACGACCCAGTTGTCATTATCATGTGCTTTTTATCAGGTGTCATTTGAATGAGTAACGTAGTTGGTGCCTGATTTTTGCCGCTCAACTGAACTAATGGTGATTTATTTTTTTCCAGGCGCTATTGGTTTTCATACTGTCGTTACTCATGTTTCATTTCACCAACAATCACTATCCATTATGGTGCTATTAGACTGCCAGGTCAAAGTTATCTCAGATATATATGAAGAAGTAGTAGTAATAGATTTAGAAGAAAGTTCTATTAAAATCAAAACAAGAATTCGGTGGATGGTGATTAATAGTAGAACTCAAGATGTGCATTTCATCCTGTTTATGACTTGCCTCGTGTTTGAAATGATGTGCCCTGGAAATGCAATCACTTCCTGAGGATTACAGAGGTAACGACAGGAGACAAGACACTTGGTAAAACAATGTCTGTTTGAAATTTGGTACTGCTATACACTGAAATGATGTACAACTTATCTTAAATTCACATTTGCACAGATCTTCCGTGTTGTTCTACTTTTGTACTTTATATTGTGTTTCTTTTTGTCCTTTTCACATCTCCTATGTTTCTCTGCATCACTGGGTCATTTGCTTTCTTTGAAGTCAACTCTATATCCTTGCTATCTGACGTCTCTTTGTTTGCTACGCCACACAGACACATCCAAATGATAATTCTCAAGTAGTACGAAATACGCATCCTCGACTCTACAGCTAGTCAACACCTACCAAATAACATCATGTTTATCTTCAAGTATGGTCGAAGCGTCTGCATTGGAGGCAGACACATCAGCGAAAACAGAATATTTTGGTCCAACATACTTAATCAACGAGAAATACAAAATAACCTTGAAACCGGACTAGAATTGTTTGGCGAAAGACTGAAGTTGCATCATGCTGATATAAGCTAAAATCAGAATTGTGAAACTTGCCTGAAAAGCATTCTATGCACTGACATACATACCCTTTCCACTCTTTTTATTGGCATAAGTAGTTATTTTACAGCAAAATAATCTATGAATTGCAAAGACTGAAATTTAACCAAGATTTTTTAAAGTTTTTCACACATTCCTTCTCTACATATAATATGATATCTAAACTAACAGTTAAAATTAAACTCTCTTGAGAAATTAAAAAGCTGGATAAGTTCTTGTAGTATCATGTTTCATGTTTTTTCCTTAACATTTTCCACTATTATATAAGTTCAGAGAAAGAATATACTTTATAAAACATCACTTTTTTGATGTCGTCCATTTATTTATGCTTGAATGAAAAGAGCACAATACACACTGTGCATTGAGTATTAACAAATATAAACAGTCTATCAACAGAGCGTTGCCCAAAGGTAGATAATCGACACAAGAAACCGAATTAAAAATAAATGCTTTGACAATCCAACGAAGAAAATTTTCTTCATCGACGAAATCATCTTTGCCTTGTAGATAATCTTGAAAGAGGATTCCCGTGAGATCAGATGGTACAAAGGCCGTCAAATTTTGACATTTGTGTATGGCGGGGGCATTGGCAATTCGTCAACACAACCCCGAATTCTGTATACAGATAGAGTTTGTCTAGTCTCTTATTCTACTATTGCCTCAACTTCTTCACTATTCGTTCCCTATAAAGCCTTTATTTTTATTTTTAATGATTAGTTTACTCTTACTTCAATAATTAATTCACTATTATCACTCTTATGTGTATGTTCCTTTTGTACATTTTCTCGCCCTCTTCACATTTGCTAAACTGACATTCAGCTAACTTTCTTCCCACTCAATAACAAGTTTAACCTTATCAAATTTCTAACTCTTTCTTCCTTTATGTCATTAAGTATTAAATAATTTGCAACTTTTAATTTTACCTTTGTAGCGACTTCTGAGTAGTTATATTAATTATGTGCCCTCCCCCTTCTACTCAATAATAGACTACTATACATTTTTTGTAAATATAAAACGACTCTACAGCCTCTGAGAGTAATTTCCTAGGTAAAGAAAATTTTCTCCGCTGAAGAGACCCTTTGGTGATGTGAAGAACAGCAAGAACTCTGTGACAGTGAAAGAACTTTGACAATCAAAGAATCTTTTCATACTTACCTTTGACATAGCTATACTGTCTGTTCGTTGTATTTGATTGGGACCTCTGGAAGCAAAAACAGCAAAAGAGCAGTTTTATTTTTTTTTAAATTTATTAACATGAATTACTTCTTAAAACAGAAAAGCCTTCAGAGAAGTAACAACGCCCGTAGTCTCTGTGTAAAGAAGTTACTCGGATTCAACATACACATTTGTAGAATACTACAGCTCGCGTTTTAAGGTCAGATTATTGATAAGTGTGTAGCACAATATGTCTGACTCCGATCTATTTGCTATGATAAAATCCCATCTTTATATTCTATAATGTGCTAAACCCTGTGTATAAAAGAATACCAACAATATCGTAATAAAAGATAACAAGTGAGAACTTGGGAAAATGTATCACTTGCGAAATCAAACTCTTAAATAGAATGAACAGAAGCTGACAGTGGGTGATTGCTCAAATTGTAACAACAGAAGACAAGGGCCAGGCAACAGATCGTTTTATTATGAAAATCAACACGTATTTATATATATTTCACATACATTATTATAGCTTATGCAAGCAGACAAGCGCAGTCATCTGATTGGTTGTTTATCAGAATTTAAGCAGGCAAACGCAGGCTTTTGATTGGTTGCGTCGGGATTCCTCGAAAAATAGAGTTCTCTATCTGCGAATCATATTTTGCCACGTTAAGTCTGCTGTGATTGGCTGTTGAATCAGCCTTGCTCATATTTTCTCACGGCCTGCTCTCACCACAAAATCATGTATAAAAAAATCAGAAAACAATCTTCATTTTTACAACGACAAATATTCGGTAAGCTTGGCAACTGCTTCGCTACTACGTGGTGCCACCGACAATTATACATCTCATCCAACAGTTATACGACCATGCTGCATGCCAAGTAATCCACAACGGGAAACTTATGGAAGCCTTCGAAGTGAGGACGGCAGTAAGGAAAGGCTGCCTAATAACCCCGTTGATTTTCCTGATTGAAGTAGATTGGATAATCCGACAAACAGCTGGCAGGGCAATGAGGAAACAGGCATAAAATGGGCTCACACAAAAAACTTGGAGGATCTGGTGATAAAACAGGGGTGATGAAGATTCCTGGCCGACATCAACATCAACAGCAACAACAACAACAATGGACAACAATCAGCCAGCATAAATGGGAGGGACCTGAAAGAAACAACCTCCTTCACCTACCTACCTAGGAAGCATCGTTTCAGCTACAGGCAAACGGAACTACGAGGATATCAAAGCAAGAATCGGAAAAACAAGACAAGCTTTCATTACTCTCAAATCTGTGTGCAGGTCAACAGCACTCAGCATCAAAAATAACATCCGGATTTTCAACTCCAATGTGAAGTCAGTCACTGCTACTATACGGATCAGAGACTTGCACTGCGCGTCATAAAGAGCATCTCAAACAAACTACAAACCTTTGTCAATAGCTGTCTTCGCTCAATGCTAAAGATCAGATGGCCAGTCAGAAAACATCAACAACAGGAATCTCTGACAATGAGCGAACTAACCAGGAACCGATTGTGCAACAAATAAACAGGAAGAAATGGAGATGGATTGGCCATACGCTGAGAAGAGAAACCATCAAGTGACATCACTAGACAAGCCATTGCTCGAGTGGAACCCGAAATGGAAGTGGCGAGTTGGTAGTCAGCGCAAAGGTGACTTGGAGGAGGTCATGTGAATAGGAGATGAAAGCACGTGGGCAGACTTGGAGCCAGGTGAAAACTCTAGCAGAGAACCGAACGCAAGGGAGACGCGTGGCTGAAGCCCTGTGCTCCTCTAGGAATAAAAGGAAATAATAATAATATAATACATAAAGTTAGTTTCTGTAAAAGTATAGTAAAGGTTTATTGATTAGCTTCATAAGTGTTTGGTTATAATTTACACAGGGGCACAACAGATGTGCTAGTGAAAACTATTCACATGTATGATATGAATCTTAGTGAAGATGATAGATTATATAAATGTTGTCTATTATTTTATGAACTGAACTTTACACTTTTTGTGTTGTTGTATAAAACAAGTTTATGGATTTGGAAACTGCTGTCATTAACTACAGAGCGGCTGGAAATAAACTGAAACTGAAACACATCTACCTCATTTGTTTGACACCTTTCTATAGTATTGATACAAGACTCTTTACACAACAGAAGTATGATGTTCACTCTTCGAAAGAGATGAATTCATACCTAATTATTCTAGTGAGATACAGTGATTCACTTTCTTCAACATAAGCAACAATGTGGGATAATAAGCTTATCTCATCTGACGTCAGTATTTCACTTCCTGTTGACTTAGTTAACCACAGAGATTATTTTTACTACTTTAAGTAGTCAGGCAAATGCCCCTTGAAGTTTTAAGACAGCAGCCAGATTAAGAACAGGTATATTGATAAATAACTGAAATATTTAGGACTATTATTATTATTATTATTGCTCCCTTGGGTTCCTAGTGGAACATAGGGCTTCAACTGCACGTCTCCATTTGCTTCTGTCTTCTGCTGTACTTTTCGCCTGCATCCATGTTAATCCATATTCTTTCAACTCCTCTTCACACGATCTCCTCCATGTCACCCTTGGACGTCCCACACGCCGCTTCCCTTTCGGGTTCCACTCGAGGGCTTGACGCGCGATGTCACCCAGCGGTCTCCTCAGCGAGTGTCCGATCCATCTCCACTTTCTCCTGCATATTTGTTGGGCGATTGGTTCTTGCTTTGTTTGTTCCCATAATTCCTTGTTGGTGATTCTTTCCGGCCATCTGATCTTCAGTATAGAGCGAAGACAGTTGTTAATAAAGGTCTGCACAGGCTTTTGGAAATATTCTTTGTGACCCGCCAAGTTTCTGATCCGTATAGAAGAGACTGACTTTACGTTTGTATTGAAAATCCGAATTTTGTTGGTGATGCTGAGTGACGAAGATTTCCAGATTGATTTCAGGTTGATGAATGTGTTTCTCGCCTTCCCGATCTCTCGATTTGACATCCTCGTCCGCTCCTCCTGTAGTTGAGACAATGCTCCCTAGATAAGTGAATGAAGTAACCTCTTTCAAATCCCTCCCGTTGATGGTGATTGACGCTGGATGTTGCTGTTGTTGTTGGTTGGTTATTTTCATAACCTCCGTCTTGTCTATGTTCACCTGGAGTCCTGTCTTTGCTGCTTCTTCGACCAGTTTGTCGGTTTTCGCTTGTAAGTCTTCGATTGTGTGTGACATCAAACATAAATCATCCGCGAAATCCAGGTCTTCTAGGTTCTTCACGTCGGTCCAGGATATTCCTGTCTTCTCGTTTCCCACTGTCTGACGCATAATCCAGTCCACCACAATTAGGAATATCATTGGTGATAATAAGCACCCTTGTCTGACTCCTGTGTTTACTCCAAACGCCTCGCTGAGTTTTCCGTTGTGGATCACTTGGCATGTGCCGTTGTCGTACAGCTGTTGAATAAGGTTGATGAATATTTGGGGTACGCCATAGTACTCGAGTAGTTTCCAAATTACTTCACGGTCAACGCTGTCGAAGGCCTTCTCAAAGTCTATAAAGTTGAGGTAGAGGTTTGATTGCCATTCCATGCTTTGTTCTGTGATGATGATGCGTAGAGTTGCAATTTGGTCAGTACATGATTTGCCTTTCCTGAATCCAGCTTGTTCTGGTCGGAGTTCTGTCTCAGTTGCGTCCTTTAATCTCTCCAGGATGATGCGACTCAGGATTTTACTTGGCGTCGACAGGAGCATGATTCCTCGCCAGTTCTTGCAGAGTGAGGCGTAAGTCGCCCTTCTTTGGTAGTTTCACGAGGTAACCTTTCCTCCAGTCAGTAGGCACCTTTCCCTCCTTCCAGACCTTTTGCAATAATGGAGTCAGCATGTCTGCTGTAGTCTCTGGGTCCGCTTTCAGTGCTTCAGGGGGTATTCCATCTGGTCCGGCTGCTTTTCCAGCTTTCAGAAGCTTGATTGCGTTCAAGACTTCAGCTCTCGTTGGAGGATTGGTGTCAACTTGCAGTTGTGTGCGCGCTGTTGTTGGTATTTCTGGACGGGTTGCAGGTGATGGTCGGTTCAAGAGTCCTTTGAAGTGATCCGCCCATTGTTTAATCTGTTTTTCTTCCTTGGTAATTGGGTTCCCTTGGCTGTCTTTTATAGGTTTCGCTTGTGTTGGTCTCTTCCCGGATAGAGATTTGGTTATCTGATATAGTGTCCTCAGGTCCCTTTTGCCTGCTGCCTTCTCAGCTTCAGTGGCCAGGTTGTCGTAGAATCGTCTTTTGTCCTTCCTAGCACTCTTCTTCACTTCTTTGTCCAATGCTTTGTAAGTTGAGCTCATCGTCTCCTTCTCCTGTCCGTCCTTGCATTGAATCATTTTCTCTTTCACCATTCTCCTCTCTTCTATTAATTTCCAAGTGTCCGTTGAGAGCCATTCCTTGTCTTGTCTCTTCTTTCTTCCTAGAACCGTTGAACACGTTTCGTTGAGAATCGCCTTCAGAGACTTCCAATGTTCTTCCACGCATGATTCTTCAGTGATGTCGCGTAGTGTTTCCTGCTTTGCTCTGACAGTTGCAGTGAAGGTGTCTTTTGTGGTTGTGTCCTTCAGTAATTGAGTGTTGAACTTGCATTGTGGCCTATCCCCAGCTATCCTCGAGGCTTTTAGTTTCACCTTGAAAGTCCCTTCTACTAGATAGTGGTCTGAACCCACATCTGCTCCTCTCCTTGACCTTGTGTCCAGTAGGCTCCGTCTCCACTTTCTTGAAATTGAGATGAAGTCTATTTGATTCTTGGTGTTTCCATCTGGTGAAATCCATGTCGTCTTGTGTATATCCTTGTGTTTGAACACACTACCGCCAATCACCAAATCATTGAAGGCGCAGAAGTCTGAGAAGAGTTCACCATTGTCGTTCATTTCACCGAGGGCCTCACGACCCATGGTGAGTTCTCTTCCTGTGTTGTCTCGTCCCAGCTTCGCATTCATGTCGCCCATCAGGATTTTGATATCGCCATTTGGGACGTTGTCCATTATTGCTTGTAGTTGTCTGTAGAACGCCTCCTTCTTCTCTTGTTCTGAGACGTTTGTAGGCGCATAACATTGAATGACTGTAACTTTCCTTCCTTTTGAGTTGAACCTGGCTGTCATTATCCTGGAGGAGATTGGTTCCCACTGCATGAGAGCTTTGGTTGCTGTTGGTGACATCATGATGGCCACTCCCTCGGTGTGCTCATGGTTGTCCTCTAGGTGGCCGGAATAGATTACTGTCTCTCCAGTAGGTAGTTGGCACCTTCCAGTTCCGTTCCATCTGCTCTCGCAGATTCCCAACACTTCTATTCTGTACCTTCTCATTTCAGCGGCTATCTGGGCAGCCTTTCCAGTTTCGTACATTGTGTGAACATTCCAGGTACCCATCCTTACTTTTGCTTTCATCGAAAGAAGGCACATCGGCTGACTGGCTTCCCGAAGGCTTTCACCAGCCTGCGTCATTTCACTTCCCCGATTCCAGCGAAAAGTAAGGCTATTGCTTATGTTTTTAGAATTTTTAATATATTTATTCGTTGAAGTTTCTGTAGCGATTTGGTTGTTTTACAGGGGTGGAGTTGCTAGCACCACGCCCCAACCCTCCCTCTTTACCCGGGCTTGGGACCGGCGAGAAAACTAGTAAGCTAGTAGCCTAGCAAGCTAGTATCTGGCGAGGTTATTTAGGACTATATTGGATGAGTAGTGGTTTGGGCTGTAAGAACATGAAAGCAGTCTCACTTTATGTAAATAGAACTCACTCATAACTCAGTTACATGGCACTGTGATCTATATTGCTTATCAAGACTTGATTCAAAGACAGAATATTAAAAATAACTATTTTGAGAGATGTTTTGTTTTTTAGACAACTCAAAAATTTCTAAAATCAGTACGTTTGTTTAATTTCTGATATCAAAAGTAGTACACCGACGAATGAAATGACTTCATGAATCATATTAAATGTGTAAACTGCAAATGAAACATTTCGTAGTAAATAATAATCTGCCATATTCCAAAACAGTATTAATGACACACTGTGGAATGGAATTCTCAGCATTTGGTATAACAGTACACCTAATTTACTCAACAACGATGGTGAAAACAATGCAGGGTATGAGTAAACGAAGTTGATAATAGCAAGGTTTTTGCACTAATAGTTACGCTCTCAAGAGGTGTTCTGTAAGGATTAGATTTGTTTTTAAGAGTTTGACCACAGATTGATTTCAGTTAGAGAACCATTAGAAACCACCAGCAATTACCGGACAGCTGTTTCTTTGTACTTTTGGACCCATCAGCAGTATGTACCTACGGGGTATAGAACCCAGGGCCTTCTAGTTACAAGGCAAGTTAGTATAACATTCAGTCATTGGGACCCGATTCAGTGGCCAGCCCATGAATTCTAACCTCTACCAATTCGTGATTTAGAGCGACCACCAACCAATATCATCGATGGGAAATCCATCATCACACTTGACTGGATGAACCTCACTGGTCACAACTTCCCACTAGAACTTTAGGCAACTAGCTAGCCAGTAGGTAGCATCAGATTAATTTTAAGAAGTGTTTTTTAAAATTTTGACGATGAATTAGTAGAAGTTAGAATTCACGGGACATTGAATGGTATACGAGCTTGCCTTGTAACCAGAATGTTCTGGGTTCGAAACTTAGTAGATGCATACTGCCGATGAGTCCCGAAATGGGACAAAACAGCTCTCGACTACCCCCTGGTTTCTAATGGTTCTCTACCTGGCATCACTCTGTGGTCGAACTCGATTAACAGCAATGATGACGTCAAAAGTTTACAAAAGTATAAAGTAATAATGTGAATAGCTAAAATGATAAGATAATTGAAATTGTGTCACCATAAAATACAAATAGAAGATGAAAAAGCCATTTATTTTGCAAGTTACATAGTAAGTTATAAGTTTCACGCCTAATACTTTCTCTGTTGCATAGAATGCGGATCAAACAGGGTATGGTTGAGTGTTTGTACTTAGTTGTGCGAGTACATAATCGTTTAGAATGACTTCTAGTCCTACCTGATGAGATGCAAGGGAAGAGTTGAGAATAAAGAAAGCACTGAGAGTCACACAATATGAATTTAGCCCATTTCTTCTCACATGAAGTCACCTGTCTGTCGACTACCATGGTATCAAGCTGACTTAGTAGCACCCTATTCGACCTGCTGAAAACCATTATTACCCTTCCTAATATAAAACAGTGCTTTTTAAGTAGCTCAAGAAACACTAAAAAGGAGCACTAAAGAACAATAAGTAAGATTCAAGAGTTAACAAACTGTAAAAGTAGAGGATAAGGGATTTCAGTTTGTCTTTAATTCTACATTCGTAAGGTCAGACGGAACATTTTCTCAGAAATTAACAACATATGGGATGACTAAGCAAGTTCAGAGGATAGGACTATTCCAAGCAATTTACTGCTTGACTTAGTTTTTATTTCACTACCCTTAATGCTACAAGCATCGTGTGAGTGGACCAGTTCGTGTAGATCACGTTAACGCCTGAAGGTGAAGTTAACCTTTTGACATTTTTCTTCCTTCACGTTCCCCAGTGGAACATAGGGCTCCAAGCTATTGGCTTGAAGTTTCTGTAGCAGTGTTTGATTTTACTGGATGGGCTTGCTAGCCTCATACCCAAACTTTCCTCTTTATCAGAACTATTTCTTGCTTCGCGAGGTAAAGGAGAGTGTTGGCGGCTGGAGAACAAACCCCGGACCATATGCATGGTCGGCGAGCGTCCTAAGCTCTATGCCACCGACACTTGGAAGTATTTAATGCAGTATAGTACATAATATATACATAATATATCCGACAAACCAACACACTGAGGGAACGTTTAACGTCCTTCTGTGCATATTGGAGTAATAATTGGAAATTATTAGAGTACAGTTTAATGCATAAACAGAAAGGATTTGACCTTTTAAACTGAAACGAAAGAAACTGATCTACTCTCATCTCCAGCAGTGAATAAATTATGGGAATATTCAAATTGCATCTCTCTTAGAATTTTACAATCATCAAATTAAGAATCCAACAAACTCACTGTTTTCTTGGCTGACTACTGCTGTTGGTTTTAGGTAACAGTTTCCATGGATTCCCACTTTTCGTTGAACAAAATGAATCAGTTTCATATGATCGACGTTTTCTTACATTGCATTTTTTATGATTAACAGAATTTTCATCTTGTTGTTCATGATAGTAAAAATACTGATGTTGTGATAAATCTATATTGTTAAGAAAGAAATTTTAAAATTAAGATTACACACAATAAAAGAGTAAAACAAATTACCTGTATGCAGGATAGGCAGCAGAATACTGGACTGATGACGTCTTTTGCATGTATTCAACTCTTTCAACTCCTTTCTTGATGACAAACTTTCATCTCTGTTAGGTAAATTATTGTGATTAACCTTCGGATTAGAATTATTAATAGATCTGATAGGATAAGGATGACGTGAATTGATGTAATTTTTGATTGACATTAATTTCTGTGCACTTAAACCATTGTTAGTTATATCGCTAAATTGCTTAGTGTTTTCAAATGCTTGAATTAGTTCATGTGTTTGATTTAAATCATAACTGCGTAGATAACGAAATGAGTTGTATTTCCATCCTCTGGTGTCTTCTTCTAAATATCGTCTACTACCTATGTGTTTTTCATTTGAAAGGAGAATATTTTCACATGCAGAGAATGAGTTGAATTTTGACGGGAAATTGTTGCACTTAAATATCATGTCATTTCTCTTTGTATTGATAAAGCTTTTTGAGTAGCATACTGTTCGTCGAAGGCTTAAACGTTCCAATGGTCCATGATGGGTAACAATACTGTGGAGTTTTCTTGGCTTTTCAACAGGAATAACACTATCTTTACTTTGGGAAATTCCAGTGTCATTCAGCTGAATACCTTCTGGCATAGATTTCACTGATATTTTTGGTTCTTTTGGTACTTCAATAAAAATTCGTGTGTGAGTGGAACATTTTCCTTCAGGATTCACTGCTATACAATCATAATTTCCATCATCTGATATGTTAGGACAACTAATTCTTAATTGGGTTGCTGTATCCTGACACAAAATCTATGGGAAAGTTGAAAATCGAAGTAAATTAGTTAAGTTACGAATTAAATAAGTAAATGTTTATTTCAACAATTACTTCTAATTAAAAGAGGATCAACTTTACTCCACATTCATTCCCTAAAAAGTAGAAGGTGTGTTCAGGTAACGTTTTGAATATATGAAGAAATTCGAATTCCACCTCAATAGATGTGATTATAGGGAGAAATTGAGCAATTTCGATAGAGAAAGAAAGGCCAGATTTACAGTACAAAATGATATCATCATTCTATTTCACGGGTTCTCATCAGCCACAGACTACATGAAATGGCAATGGTTTTCTGGATGATAATAACATACTTTGATGTTCAAGTGGTAGTAGAGAAGAAATACTACAAAACTGATTCATTCAAACTGTAAGAATTACAATCTTTAGTTTGAGTTTTCATCATCGATCTACACGCTTTCAAAATAGAAAAGAGGAGGAAGGGGTAAGACAGAAAACAGAAAAAATTAACAAACAGTATTAGCGGTTACAGTTTATAAGATTGATATTTGCTCAGTGAGTTGAAATCACTGAATTAGATGACTAATTAATGTAATCAAAACCAAAATTCAGTTACCAAGGAAGTAGATTGGACCATGCCTTGACTACAACACCTTTTGTCCTATAAGCTGTCAGTGGAGATTAATAAGGAAACTGTACGACAGAGCCAGGAAGCTATGTTCACCTAATAAGTTGGAGGTAGAATTAGGTTTCACTGAGAAATGCCCGAAGGGATTCATACAAAAGTATAGCAGAGAAAAAGAAATGAAAGAAAAACACCCAACTGTAGAAAAGAAGAAAGTATTTATTTGCCTCCCATTCGAAGGAGATAAAGTGTCACAAAAAGATTGACAAAAGAAAGAAGGGTGCAATAAAAAGAAGCTTCCCTGCAACGTAACTCATTATACAGCACTGCTTCTATAACCCAATCAAAACCGGTTAAATAATTTGCTGATATCTCCTCTAACTGTGTGCACTTGCGGGAGCAAGTACGTTGGAAGAACAGAAAGAAGGGCTTCTATCCGGCTTTATGAACATATTCCAAGTAACTTGTGTCTGAAAGGAAGCGGATATTCTCAGAGTGCAGTTACCAGACATGTTGTTGATACCGGACATCTCATAGGGATTTCCAAGTCCTTCAAAGTATTAAATAGACAAAGGACAGCAAATTTACTACGATTTGCCGAAGTCATCGCAATCAAACGATTCACACCAACCAGACTTATGCATACAGAAATAGAGTGTGATTAATCTCTCACTCCTTTGGAAACTGAATTTTGATTTTGATTACACTAATTAGTCATCTAATTCAGTGATTTCAACTCACTGAGCAAATATCAATCTTATAAACTGTAACCGCTAATACTGTTTGTTAATTTTTTCTGTTTTCTGTCTTACCCCTTCCTCCTCTTTTCTATTTTGAAAGCGTGTAGATCGATGATGAAAACTCAAACTAAAGATTGTAATTCTTACAGTTTGAATGAATCAGTTTTGTAGTATTTCTTCTCTACTACCACTTAAACATCAAAGTATGTTATTATCATCCAGAAAACCATTGCCATTTCATGTAGTCTGTGGCTGATGAGAACCCGTGAAATAGAATGATGATATCATTTTGTACTGTAAATCTGGCCTTTCTTTCTCTATCGAAATTTATCAAGGGAACCAAATGTACCTAATCCAGCAATGAGTGATTCGAAAGGAGAGATACCTATCTAAATGATCTGCGTGTCAGTGAATCTGTTACAAGACTAAACATCGTGCCATAGATGACCTAGCAGTTGTCTCTGAGCCGGTTAATAATAATTATAGCTGAATTCTCAACAGCATTTATACAATTTACAGAATTTTCAGCGGAAACTACCGCATAATAGCTTCTCTTTTTCCACGATCTTCAAGTAAAATAGTAATTAAGAGTGAATCACGTAAAACACTGCTGTCTGACTTGAAGCGAAAACTAATCCCTTATGACATGCCTTCATTGCCTCCTTTCTTCAAGAAATGCACGACATTCGGATGAAAGCTACGGTACAAAAAGTGTTGGACTATATTTTTTGACCCAAAAACATAATAACAGTATCTGAGTAATTGAAAACTTCAGCTAACTAGTTTTATTTCTTAGACGTCAGGAGTTTTTTTTACTGAAATCTCACGTATCTCATGTATGGGATACCCTGCCGCTCACGATTTCGCCTTTTCTCAAGGGTAGTAGAAACCTGAGAACTAGCAGGTTCTAGACATCTTAAGTACTCACGAGAGTAAAAGATACCATAAGAGGTCCATTTTATACAAAAAATAAGGTGCTCATACGGTAGTTTATGCCTAATATTACCTGCTTACAATTAGATGGCTTAAATGGAGTACTTTAAGATTTCTGTCTGAAATAAATGTGAATATATATATGTCATTACTAGTCTTCGTTATTGTGAAAATCATGTAGTATTAACTAGCACATTATATATTTGTGGTTTACCCACAGTAGTGAGAGCAATCATGAATCAGATACTATAAATCTTCGAAAATGATTCATTTTAGTAACTTTTCAGTCCATGATATATGATTACGCTCAAAGACGTTTACACGCAGTTTCTAGTAGTTTACTTATTTGGTTATAGACGAAGTCAAAGAAAAGTATATTTGGTTACAGAATATCATCATGAGCTGACATTGGTTAGAGAACCATTGAAAAACCTACAGGGGAGTACTGGACAGCTGTTTCGTCCTAGTTTGAGACTCTTCGGCAGTACGCATCCACCGGGGTTCGAAATCAGGACCCTCATTGGCGACTGGCTCTATTCAGGTAGGTTCCAGTGGGATGTAGTGACTGGTAGGGTGCACCAGGTCGGGTGCGAGGACAGATACTCGCCGAAGACATTGGCTAGCAGTTGCGCTATATCGTGAATTGGCAGAAGTTAGAATTCGTGGGCCACTGGATCGGGTCCTAGTGACTTAATGGTATAAGAGCTGACTCGCCTTGTAACCAGAAGGTCCTGGATTCGTACCCAGGTGTGTGTCCTGCTGAAGAGTCTCAAACTAGGACGAAACAGCTGTCCAGTACTCCCAAATATATTTGCTTTGCATGCAATTCGAACTGAGTTATACAGTATGAGACTATTAACCATACTTCGTGTGTGAGAGCTGATAATGTTACTTTGTTGCTCAGAGTGAAATAAGTCGAATGACATTCGAACCCGGAACATACTGGCTGGAAGTTGAGGTCTTCATCCAATGGAACGAATCTCCACTTCAATATAAAGCACTACTAGATTACTCTACTTGAGGAGAACGTTATCTCTGACAGTTTGCACCATTTAATAAAATCTACAAACCTTAAAATCAACATATTTGTACTACGCTTAAATAAAAAGGAACAGGATTATATAATTTCAGCAAACTTACATCGATTCTATCACTAGGATGTATTTCAACAGAGTCTTTCTGCCATATGAACACCACGTCTTGTGCAGTTGACTGAACATAGCAATATAATAAAATTGGCTCAAATATAATCAGCATATCTTGTTGATCAGATATTGATGCATTATCATCATTTTTTACAGGATGAATATGATATTCTGATTGTAACAGACCGATAAATTTCGGTGCTTCATTTGGACCTGAATGTTTTTGATGAAATGTTAACCCTTTTAATGTTAAAGCTTGTTGATTTAGATAACAGTTGGTTTCGACTTCTTTTACTGAACGTGGTAGCGTGAATGAAGGAGTCGGTAGTTTATTTATCGGTTTTACATTCAATTTAAAGGTACGATTAAACCATTGCTTTAACTTATTTTCATTTCTATTCATTGAATCCTTTTGCATCCTGAAAAAATATTAAACAAAAGAAAATGAAGTCAAATATAAAAGTTGGTGAGTAACATTGCTATTGGAAGCTTTCAGTAAAACAAGTTCAGTAATATTCCATATGTATTATTATTTAATATTATTCCCTTGAGTTCGGAGTGGAACATGTGGTTTCAACAACACACCTGCACTTTCTTCTATTTTCTGCCATCCTCTTCAGCTTGCACCACGGTTGCCCATAGTCTATCATCTCCTCCTCGCCGCATGATCTTCTTCATGTCACGCTTGCACTGACGACACACTCGTTGTTTCCCATTTGGATTCCAACCGAGTGATGGCCTGCGTTGAGCGCGACGTCATTTGACGCTCTCCACAAAGTATTTCCGGTCGATCTCCATTTTCTCCTACATATTTGTTGAGAAATCGTCTGTTGGTTGGTTTGTTCTCAGCCGGAGTTTCTTATGACTAATTCTCTCTGGTCATTTGATCTCCAATATGGAGTCACCAAAATGGGCAGTTGTTGAAAAATGTCTGCAACCACCTGTTGGAAATCTCTTTCGTGTCACCAGCGGCAATTTTATGAGCCGTATAGAAACACTAACCTACTTCACATATATGTTGAATATAGTCCTAATTTTGCTGTTTATACTGCGGACTGAGATGCAGGAGATTTCCAAAATGGTTTCAGGTTGATGAAGGCGTATCTCGCCTTCTCGATTCTGGCTGACTTTGATATCCTTCATCCATTCCAACTGCTTGTGTTTGAAACCATTTTTCCCTAGATTAGTGAAGGAAATAACCTCTATCGAATCCCTCCCATTGATGGTGACGGGTGTTGGTTGCTGTCGGTGGTGGTTGGTTATTTTCATCACCTTCGTCTTTTCTTTGTTCACTTGGAGTCCTGTCTTCTCTGCTAGTCAGCCTCTGCAGCCAGTTTGTTGGTTTTCGCCTGCAATTCTTCGAGTTTGTGTGACATAAAACATATATCTTCTGCAAAATCCAGATCTTCTATCGTCTTCTTATTAGTGGTGCAGTGTAATTCAGTCCGCCACAATTCAGAATATCATTCCACATGTACATGAAATTAGTTTTAAATGAAACAAAATTAATGGGGTCACTGGATTTCGTCCTAGTAGCTGAATGGTGTCTTAGTTCACTATGTAACCTGGATATCCTGAGTACGACTCACTGATGCGCTCATATCTGCCTACTGATTAGGCGTATCAAACAAGGACCAAACAGTTATCCAGTACTCCTTGGTGTTCGATGGTTCTCTGACTAAAGTCAGTTTATGATCGAAACTCTAATATTACAGGAGTCGACTTCATAGCACCAGTATGCAACTTTTATACTTTAAAAGTCTCTTTTATCTCTAAAAAACGTTTCTCCTTTAAGTGAACATAAAATTTTAATAGAAATATGGGGCAAGAAATTGTGTATCAACAAATAATTTCACATGTGACCAAGTTCTGTTATTTCATGACTTTCCATATAAAGGTTGAGGAACTTTTTCAGACATTTTGCAATATAAAACTTCTGTAATAAGATGCTATAGTAATACACCTGCTGTGTGATAAGTACGCCCTTGTGTATTGTGATATCGAATAACAAAGTGCATTAAAACAACATTCATTTGAATACATATTACTTTAGTGATTATCAGAAACAAAATTTCATCATTTATTATAGACTGGTAATATATGAAATTTCTGTATGTGATTACAAATATCACATAAGTTATAAGCTGTAAGTCCCTACAAGGATCCCTCATGTCAACGGAAGTTGAACATCTCAGTTTAATCACTCAGCGGGGAAATCAAAATTGAATTAAAAACAAATAGTAACTAATGACCACTGCACGAGAGGTGGTCTACGTGGCCCAAGTTGTCTAGTGGATAACGCTTTGGTGTTCGTTAAAATGTTGGTTTCTGGGTTCGAGTCCCCGCAGGAAGAGTATCACTCACTGCGGATCACAGATGCATCCAGATAACAAGTCCCAAATCGGACGACGAAATGTGCATCCTGAATTACACTGCTAATTTCCATCCACCAAAAAGCTGTATTCTATCTTTTTGAAACCGTTTAGTATATAAACTACCTCATGCACATCAAGGATTTTCACCTAGTTTACAGCTTTTATATAGCACATCAAATTATAACGATCCAAGAGAAAGTGATTATTTATTTCATTTAAGCTGGTGAATAGTATGAACTTAAACTTTGGATAATTTATGGCTTCCAGGAACTAAATGATTTACTTTACCCTATACGTCATACTAAAATATTGTTTTCAAGAATTAAAGAACTATGAGTATTCAATTTCCCTTTTCCACTGAATACCTATAAAGAAAATGGAGAATTAACACACTATTAGACTGCTAAGTGGGACTTTTTACATTAATTCAACTCACTCCCCATTCAAGCTGAAGGAGGTCACCACTTCCACCTATTTAAGGAGCATTGTTTCAAGTACAGCTAGTACAGGTGAAGATTTCAAAGGAGGAATGGAAGCAGAGACAAGACAGACCTTCATTATTCTGCGATCAGTCTGGAAATCTACTGCACTCAGTATAAAGAACAATACTTGAATTTTCAGCACTAACTTAATTTAAAGTCAGTTCCTATACACAGCTAAAAGAATTGGCTTTCACGTCACCATAACCATTTCCAACAGGCTACTTCAGAATTGTATCAACCACTGTCTTCTCTGGCTCCTTAGTAAAGATCAGATGGCCAATCAGAAAGGATTAATGACAATGAACTCTTAGAGTTAGAAAATCGGGGCCCTGTCAACCAATAGATATGTTAAAGAAAATGAAGAGAGATCCAATGCATACTCAAAAAACAGTTGAGTGAAATCGTGTTTCTGGCAGGTTGTCGAGTGGGACGTTAGTGGGAAACGATTCGTTTGACAAGGTTCAAGCTTATGGATACTTCTGGAACCATCTAAAGATGAGTGCAGAAAACAGGTTGCTGTTTAAAGCCTATATATTTCACTCGGAACCTATGGGAATTATGATAAGCTGCTTAAGCACTTAAAAGGAATTGAAGTCTCATTGCTAGGTGAGACACACTGATTCAACCAGGTACATTTGTATCCATGAAAGATATTGAGCATAGGCAAAAATATATGTGTATGATTCGTCGCTTTAACATTTCAAATGACAAGTGAGGTATAACTTTCGAGCAGAGATGTTAAGCAAGATCTCACGAATAAAAATATCTTTGATTATTTTTAAGTGATGATTTGATATCTAAAAGGGGAAAAATTATATGTCACTCCTTTCCAAAACATAATTACATGTTTCACTAGAATTAAGCTTTTCTAAATATATTCTTTTGATCTGAAGTAAAGGTAGAGTCAAATATCGAAACCCTGAAAAAGAAAGTTACATTAGAGGTTTCCGTGTAGTTGACTGATTACATTTCAAGTCATAACGTGTTTACATTAGATCACTTGCTCTGTTAAGGATAAAATAAAGATTATGTCGGATGAAAATGTCTCACTAAGTCATGAACAATAGTCGGAAGTAGTGTGAAGGAATACGATTGTACTATTTTAATTGGACACTAGTAACTAGTGTGATGTGTCTAGCCCTTTCTCCACTGCAGTCTGAATTCTATCAGTCAGCTTTGTAATGTGGCCACCATTCTAAGTAGGTCCCCATCACTGCGCACATTGATTTAATGATATTAGACGGTTGAAGGCAATCGATAGCAAGCCTTGGTGCTAGTTGCAGACTGCAGCACTGGGTGAAGCGGGTTCGGATCTCAGAAGGGACATGAGTTCCTTCAAGGTTGCAGATACGCCTTGATGATGAGTGCCAACTAGCACGAAACCTAGGTCCAGGCCTTCCTGCCTACTGCCTCTAACCATCTAATATCACGATTGTACCATATTAAATCACTGGATGAAAACAATACGAATTTTTAGTCCATTCCCGAACGCTATTTATTGGTAAAGAAAATATTTTGTGAGTCGTGGCGCAACAGTAGAGTGCTGGTAGACCACGCATGTGGTCCGAGGTTCGATCCCCGGCCACCGACACACTCTTTTACCTCACTACGCCAGTAACCAGACTGGTAAAGAGGGGAGGTCGGGCATGAGGCTAGCATCCCCATCCCTTAAAAATAAGCACCATTGCTACCGAAACTTGAAGCCTTCAGCTTGAAGCCCTATGTTCCAGCACTGAGAATATAAAGGAATAACAAAACATTTTATCCAAAGAAATGTTCACCATGACGTGGTACAAACAAAAAACTTCACCATGCAGCTAAATGACTGACGCGACACATTGAAGATATTGCCAGTCACTCCAAGTTCAATTAAATATTAAGTGATGTACTCAATTACTGTTTTTTTTAAATTTTGTAGCTTCTTATAATTCAAATGTGGAAAATATCTTTTTATGTTAAATATTACTAGACTAATCTCTACTTTAATTCATAAATCTTCTTAAAATGAAGTCGTCAAATGACGTCGACTAACTGTTTGTTTACTAGAAAAAGAAGGCTGAAATGAAGTGAAGTTCATGTGATTTAGTAAGAATAAGACGACATGCCATTCCTACGCATAGTGCTTCTTTAATAAAAAAAAAACCATATATATAATAATTTAAGTCTTATCTAGAAGTAGCCAGTTAAATTCTCAGTGTAATTACTCCTTCACATTGTATTGGTAGAAGCCACTAAAGAAGAAATCAATAATGTTTTATTACATGAGAAAGAAGTACACATCAAAAATAGTATGAAGCTGAGAAATCTTTTTTTCTTTTCATTTCTAAATTATTGGTGGTTAAGTACTTCAACAGTTACTGTACTTTATTTCAAAAGTGACCTTGTGTTGCAGTTTTAATGCTTAAAAAAAAAAGAAAGGAGCGGTTATTCAGTATCCACACACTTCTAATGGAACATATTAACCATATTATCAAAATGTCTTACTGACGAGTCCCAACTAGCACGAAACCTAGTTCATGCAAGGCTTCAACTTATCATCAAATCAATGTTCACCGTGATAG